CAATTGTAAAGGAAGAAAATATTCTAACATAGTTAACTTTGGAAAAAGGTTGGCTTTTGATTCTTCCCTTCCCCAGGTCCACTCGGCGAGCTGCGTGTGGTCACTATGAAAATCAGCAAGGCATGTTGACATCACAGAATTACAGAGTTTAATCCAATATAAGACAATGCATACACTTAGAAATAAGACAATGCACAAGCCTACACCAGAAACTGCAGAACAACAGAGACATACATTCCATTACCTGACATAGGAGGAAAGAAAGCAAAGACGTACAAGACATCTTTGGAGAGTTTGCAAGAGCAAAATCTGATCTGTAACTTCTATTTAGAAAGCTTTATCCTCTTGTATCTAATCCATTCAAAAAGGGCTGGCCCTCGGTCCTCCAACCAGAGCCATCTCTGACACTGAGCTTCACCTAATTTACTGCAAACATCTGGGGTCATTTGCTTCTTTGTTTTAACAAGAAAAGGCGGAAAGCTTGTCCTGGCATCTAGCATTCCTAAAGTCATAAAACACAAGATAAGCTCTCACAGACAGCTTGTGGAATGCGGGGGGCCTCACTTTTGACCTTCTGTAAACCAAGCAGAAATCTCTCCTGCAGGCTTAACTGTTATTCACCCCCCAGGAGATACTCATTCTATGGGCTGGTGGTCTAAATACTTATCCATTAGTAGTTTTAAATCATTAACACAGCCTTGTTCAAAATTAAGAAATATGTTCAAGTGAGAGTGTTTACACATGCCATAAGATTAACTGTATTAAAGTCTAAAAAATAATCATTTTTCTTTAACAATATTCAAGTTTCAGACATTTACAGTTTATTGTTTGCTAAATTAGAAGAGGAGAAAATAAGGTGGAGGCAGTTTTCGTTCTGCATGAATTCATCCAGTTTGTGCACTGCATGACTTTCAGACCCTCGGCATGATGCTATCAGCATGTAAACCATCCAGCTCTTGATTTGCGGCCAAACTGAAGAAGTTGTACATATTCTTTCTTCTTTATCATTTACCCATTTTGATAAATCCAGGCATACCACTGGAAGCCAAATGGAGCATTAACATGTTTATCACCTCATTATGCTTTGGAGCTGGAAGTGTGTTCTCCAGCTAGAAGCCTTCAACTGTAAACTTTTAATATGTTTAGAACTATGTGTGCTGTTCCTTATCTTTGTACAGCAGAGCAGACCCATAAACGTGATGTTACACTACCAGGCTTAACAGCTGAATCTGTCTTTTTGGCTACAGGAACTTATCATATCAGGTGGAGGGTCAATATTCAGCTGAATGTGTGAGGATTCATATCTAGAGGAACTATGTGGTTTCATTTCCGCTCTCTTGGGTGTTTTTAAAGATTATTAGGGATGCATGCGTATGTGTTTGTAAATTATTGAGCCTATATTATTAATTTCTCTCCTTGTGACTAACAGAACAAAAAAGAGACATAAAGTCTTTTAGTTATTAATTATTTTCTGTTTGTTTTATACAGTTTTATACGGCATGCTAGACCATCCGAAGGGTTAAAGAACAGCAGCTGATTTAATTTTCGCTTTTTTAAGCATCTCCAAATCATTTTGGGGATTTCAGATTGGCAAGTTAGCACTCAGATTCCTTGCCATGAAAAGTGCTTTATAAACATGTATTATTCTTATTTTCATTATTATTATTCTGTCGACACATAAAGGTTGAAATATTCAGTAAGGTAAGCCCTTTAAATAAAGAAGCAAAGAAATAATAACCTTCATTAAAAGAAAAAGCACTAATAAATTATTTAAGCCAACTGCACTTTTTTCTTTCAATTTGATACGAATGTTAATAAGGCCACAAACATCCACTGACTTTTACTCAAAAGCAGCCTTGGCCACACCCACCTGTCTACCCATTTGTACCATAAAGCAGGAGTAAACAATGTCCCCTACCCCATTTTTAGAATCAAGAGGAGCACAAAATATGTAGGCGAAGAAAAACTTTTTCTTGTACAATTTTTTTAACAATTTAAAATTTCAATGTAGTAAAAAAAAATAATAATAATTGTATCTCACTCCTGCTTTCAAATTTGTGCGGAATGCACATGATGACCAAGATGGGTGAAGTTGAATGCCCTGTACGTTAAATAAATGGTTAAGCTGAGACTTTTAATCCTTAGATATTTGTTACTTCAGCCATATATATAATTTTAAACATCTGCTTAAATGCAACTTTTTAAAAGCTTGAAGCCTTTAGTAATTCTTATTAAAGAATAAAAGGGTTGCAAATCCCTGGGGGGATGTAAACCCTTAGGAGACTCAACAAACCATTGAACTGTTAGAATCTGTATTTTCTTTGACGGAGGATCATCTTTGTTTCTCTAACAGGACTTGTACAGGAAAGACTGCAATCTGGCCGCCCACCTGCTGCACTGCTCCAAGTCACACTACAGAGCACACAAGTTGTCTGAGGTGAGCTTTCTCACACTGCTGCTACAAACACACAATCATGCAATCTATGCATCAAGACAGCACTGTGGGGCTTTAATGGGAACTTTAAAAAAGTTCTAAAATGAATAAAATTCTTTAAATGTTAGTTAATAGCTTCTAATTGGTGTGCAAATCAGTCTGAAGTTGTTTGTCTGCAATGCTTGTAATCTAGAGAAAGAGTTGCTGGGCTAAATTGAAACCTTGATGAGTGGATTTCACAATGAGATGGGGCCACGGGGCTCATGGCCTCTTCAGTCAGACTGATGGAGGTCTGCTGTCTGAAGTGCTGTCTGTCTCTGCTGTGCATAATGAATGAGCAAATAAAGGCTGGTTAGAGACAGCGTCCCATGTACAAGGAGACATGTACAAGAAAATACCTTAAGGGAAAGAAGGTTGATAACTGTCTAGAGCTGTGCAAATATCTAATTTCAATATCTCATATTAGATACATCTATTGATAAAAAAAAAAAATGGAAGAAACTTAAACAAGGTCTTGCAAAGTAGGTAAACATCGAGTGTGTGCTTAAGCTCTCCTTGAATACTAGATCTAATTATTTCCCCTTCATAGCTCTTATACAACATATCTGATATCTATACATCAACTAACCATTTGATTTTTTTTTCTTTTTGTAGAATACAGTGACCTCAAAAGTATTCAAAATACTTTTTTGGACTTTAAAGCCACAAACTACAATGAGTTATACATTTTAAAATGATTATTAGAAACTGCAAAGTGGAGGAATAATGAAACATAAGGGTTTAAAAAATGAACAAATACAAATCTGATAAAGTCCTGTTAATTTGTTCCTTACCATACAAATTGACATTTATACGTCCATTTAAATCATTTGCAAAGACCATCTAGCAGTCAAAATGGAGAGTTTCTGTAATAAAGCAGTCTGCTGCAGTATGCTGCTTATGTTTTTTTTTTTTTTTTTTTTCTTAATTGTGGTGGGCTGCAAGAGGAATTACCTCTAGGGATTCAAAAATTGATTTAAACATTTTAATTGGCTGTTTGTCTTGATAACCCTTTCTGAGTGTCTGGGGGGAAGCATTTCTATACTCAACGCCAGCAAAGTGCTGTTGCTCTACTAGTACCATTCTTTTCAGTGTAGACGCAGATAGAAAATGGTGCTAAGCAACTAGAGAGAACATGCAGAAGCCACATGGAATCACGAGTAAGGTTATAGTTCATTGTGCTGCCAAAATATTTAAAGGAACAAACATATCCATTATTTTTCAGGGTTCATATAACCTAAAATGATACATTAATAAATTATGTCAAACATTCAGAGGTTTTTGTCCATTTTTATTCCATTGTGTGCATATAAATCAGAGTCTCACTGGACTTTTCAATGTGATCAAGCTGTAAATATAATTTTTTTTTTTTTTGGTAGCATATTTAGACAGATAGCAATTTTAGAGATGCTTTTCCTGTTTAAACCGCACATATGTAGTTTGATGCTCCGGAATGTGGAAGTAAGACAGAAGACTGCAGGAGTTTTATGAGGGATTTAAAGAGGTACACACCCCAAAACAAAGGAAATGTTTGGCCTTAACCAAAACCGGCATTTCAGGGAAACATTAAAACATCTGGAAATCAGATGAAAGTTAAATTAATATAAATGCTTAATAGTAAAAAAGGTAAATAAAATATATTGAACACATAAAAATGTCTTAAAGAACCAACATATTAAATGCTTTATACTAACTTTCTATATGCATGTGTAGGTTTTTAATTATTTACTAGTTTAAACACACTGGTTGGAGCAGCTTTTGGAAAGAAAAATAGGATTTCTATCATACTGATAAAAGAGATAGGAAACAACCTCAGTATATTTAAAATCTTTTCATCTTCCATTACAATCCAGACCTGGAAAATACTTAAATCCAGTGACACACTTTTTAACACTGTGTATGAACTCTGGTTATTGACATTGCATGATCCAGTTAGTAACTGGCACATATAGGAAACATTTACAGTGTTCAATCTAATTGACTAAACAGTTCAACTACTGTTTAATTACAGCTTTATTTAAAAATAACAAAATAGATGTTTCATTTTTATTGTCACCTGCTATTTTCCAGCTGGACTAACACTGCGAAACATTGCTATTGTTAATCAAGATGTGATTTAGATTGGAGCAAATGCTGAGTTAGCTCACTTGCAGCGCAAACTACATTATCATAACGCTGCTCGCTCAAAGCCTCACCTACTTTCCATCTCGGCTCCCTGTAGGCGAGTCAATAGCTACTAAAAATAGCTCTAACTTTAAACAGGCAGCTTGTTTCATGCAAGCACAAGCTTCTATTTCTTAACAAAGCCAAGAAAGACAGTTTTTTTATTCCCAGCTGGAGACCTAGACCACAGGTTTAATTTGAATATGAGTCTGTCTCTATGGAACTGATATCTAAGGTTTTTTTCTTTTTTGCTTGGAGGTAGACAGAGGAAAAAAGACTGAAAAAAATCAGATTGGGAGTGAGGGCGTTTTGATTGAATGAGAAGGCTATAAAGCTTTAGAGAAGAAAAGATGAAATTATTTTTAAAAAGGAGGGGGGGGGGGTATTGGTGTGGCGATCCCAATCAATTCATTAGCTACAAAGTACTCAACCATAATTTGAAGTAGTGGTTTTTCTCAATATAGTTAGTTCAGAGAAAATACATATCCCTTTTCCACCTAAGGGCAAGCAGAGAAAGAAATAGAACGTTTGAAAAGACTTGAACAATCTCCTTTTCTATTTGCAGCATTATCTTAGCTTAAACATTAATAACACGCATAGTACAGGCAACAAAAGTACAATTCTTATGGAAAATAAGAGAGATTTACCTCTCTAAACTCTAAGAATACCAAATAATCTCTAACCATTCCATGTCAACTTTTGTTTTAACATCTCAGTTTCATTTACATATCCCCCTTTTTTGGCTTCTCTTCCCCCCCCCAGTTGCCTCTGGATTTCCAGGAACGCATCAACTCCTACATGGAGAAACATAGTCGAGGTAGAGGAGCCACCATAGCAATGTGTCACCCCAATTACCCTGAAGAAGTGCCGACAGCAGTTATTGCCAAGGTCCTGGAAAAGCTTGAACCAGGAAGTGACTCCCCTATAACATGCTCATCAAGCTCCCATGTTCAGGATGGAGACTTTTTAATAGGAACAGGAAGCAATGATCACCTAAACCGCCGCATTTCATACAAATCATCTGACCTGTACTGCAGCGACACAGCCCTGTATTGTCCCGAACGATGGCAAGACACAGAACGAAGGCAGAGTGTTGACCTCCATGACACTGGGCTGCTTCAGCTGCATGCTCAGACCTCCTTAGAGAGTAACCCAGATGATGATCCTTTTCAGTCTGGTAGTTTCTCCCACCATGATCCCCCATCGTCTTTTCACCACCATGAAGAGTTTGGCACTGGCAGTTTCCCTGCCTCTAGTTCGTACTCCAGCTTTAGCCTTGCATCAGATGAGAAGGGGACAGTCAGTGGAGGGGGTGGGCGCACCACCAATAGCGCCTTATCCTCTTCCCATCAGGGTCTTTATATGGACTGGCGAGATGGTGTAAGTGGGGACTATGACCACAAGAGCTTGTCTTCATATGACAAACAAAATCCTGGCTTCTCCAAGTCACACAGCGTACAGCGATTGGTGAGCACTAGAAGTCCCCAAAAGGGCATGTCACCATCGTACACAAGGACAGCTTCATGCTTCAGTGAACCATACCACTCAAGCTCCCCTCGCCTTGCCTCCTCCCACAGCATGGGGTCCACAGCAGGACTGGGCCAGGCCCAAGGTGGAGCTTTGGACAGCCGGAATGACATACAGGTCCCTGAGGATGACTTAAGTATCCGCTGGAAACAGCTCAGCGTTGAGGATATCCATAGTTTCTCTTCTTATCGCAACATGGCAGGCCGAATCTCCCCGTACAGCTTCTCTGAGCAACAATTTGCCATGGGCCCATCAAGTAAGCACAAAGAGTCTCTCTACAGCAGTTTCCAAGAAGGTGATGATGTCTTCCACGGCCATGTCCTTGACCACTGTTTTTCTGTCGGCTCCCCGTCACCAAGCCAAAATCCCAAACCTAAAGAGCATCGTAGGTCTGAGAAAACATCTGCATTGTATCGAGCAAAGGATGACAGTCAAGACTCAGAGGGCAGTCTGTTCCTCTCTGGGAGCTCTAAAGACAAGGAAAGCAGTGGGGGGGCAACATCGGCTAACAGTACCAAGAAGGACTATGTAAACCTGGGCGTGGATAGCTCGGCTGAGTCCTTGCACCACAGCTCATTGGAGGCATCAAGTCTTCAGCACTATCCAGCCCCAAGGCCAACCATCCGACCTCGCCCTAGCTCCAGTTCTGCCCTCAGCACAGGTCCTGCACTCCCGAAGAAAACTTCTCCGAGATACAAAAAATTTGGAAGCACAGGATTGACGAGGAAGGACAGTTTAACCAAGGCACAGCTATACGGTACGCTGCTCAACTGAGTGCAGACAAGCAGTTTCAGTTTATGCATGCTGATGGTGATGACTCCAAACTGTACTGTACTGCACTGTATGTTTCCCTGAAGCAAACACATTCTTGTGATGGGATGTTAAGCTGTTGTCCCTTTTTGTATCTTAGCCAAGGCACGCTTCATGCAGTCTGTAACATGTTTTCTATTGTGCATCTTGATATACTGTAGCAATCTGATACCATCTTTAAAGAAAATGTAATAGTTTGCTTTTCCAGTAATGAGGATTTTAATTAGCACCACCATTATGTGGTTAGCACAGTAAGCAAATTGATATAAACTCCTGTTTGAAGGGCATTTATCATCACCAATATCATCAGAAACTTTTAATTCAAAACACTGATATTCTAGAATAAGACAGAAAGACATTGTACTTTCTGCTCCGGTCATAACAAGAACTGTTATTCTAATATGCATCAACATGCAGTAATTGTGCAAGTCTAGCTTTTGTCCACGTCATTAGTGTTTAAGTTGGGATTAATTGCTTTACAGTAATATAGCTTTTAAAACAACACTGTCTGTTATTATACTGGAACTCCACGAGTCGTTGTGTAATCTGTCAACCCATGACAATAATCAATGTGCTCACCCGTCCCTCCACACACACACGCGCACACACACAAAAACCCCTTCAGGCCAGTGCTACAAATATGGTGGCTTGAAGGGAAGCTTAACTACTCATTCATCCAAAGACCACTTAAGGATTAACACTTTCCTGTCGTCTTTCCTGCCTTCCCTAATTTTGGCTCAGACATGGAGAAAAGTGCTTTTATTTAAGTTTTATTAAAGACATAATAAAACAAAAGATGTAAAAAGAAAAATTCTTGGTAAAACAAGAATTTGAAGTTGTTGCAAACAACTGAAATTAATCTCACTGCTGCAAGTGTTTATTTGCTGGGACAAAAAGTATACATTTTCATAAAATATCTATTTTTATTGGATGGTGAAAAACAGATACTCTTCACCAGATCCCTCAGCTATCTCCATTAGGATTTTTAATCAAAAGTGCACAGTTCATCCTTTTTCAATGTTGGCCATGAGCGGCTACACATTTACTTGAAATTATGATTAAAAAGATATTTTCAGTTACAGTATACTTCACCATTTCCAGATGATCATCTCCTTCTGTTTGGATAGGGGCCCTGTCATTTACTATGACGGCCACCAAAAAACATGCAGTCATGTTAAAATTAAGCAATATACACCAAGCTCTAATCCCAATAGTGTTTACTTAATTATGTTAAAGCCTGGAAGAATTTTTGCATCGCAATCAGCAAAAAAAAAAAAAAAAAAAAAACATTGCCCACCATCGCCATCTGCTGGCAGTACTTAGTCACATTTCCATCAACTTAACAGCTTCCAAGGCTTTAGCTCCAACTTCATTGAACACCAATGTTCATACTGTGTTCCAAGCTACTTATCTCTTATCGATTTTGGCATCTAATATTTTTTGTTACACGTTTCCACATTTTTCGTCTTCATACCTTCACTGAAAGTCACTTGGCTCGGTTAATTTCTTGCTTACTCGTTGTTTACTCGTTGCAGGTATGTGCCTCCATGTGGTCTTGTTATGATAAATACTCAAAACAATTAAGTTTAGAAATAGGGCAAATAGGTGTAAAACAAAGAAATACAATATTAATTAGCCAACAGAGTCACATAAGTTAATCAGAAAGCCTTTGTATGCAACCATAGTGAGCTACTGGCATAGAAATTCACGTGAATAGGCAACTTTAGGAGTCACAAAGGAGGTTTTGGTGCCTAAAACTGATCTCAAAATTAACACTCTTGTTAGTAAGCTGGTCATGATTTACTCTTCTTTCCTAATGGGTTTTATGATTGGTACATATTTGCCTTTTGAAAACCCTGAAGTGATAATAATGGCCAACATGTGTTATGAAGTCTGCTACTTACTGTTAGCTTGCAGTCAACAAACTCTACAGCACTAAATATATCTCTCTCTGTTAAAAAAATGTACATTTTATTATACAAATACAGAGGCTGACTTGTTTCACGCAGACATTACCTGTAAGTTTTGAAAAATAGAGCAAGGCAAAAGCGGTCTTTATTGGAAATTCAATGTATTATACATAAACTACATTTATTATTCAAGCTACGTTTAAAACTTGACTAGATATTTGAATACTCTAAGAATCTCACTTGTCTTATGTGTGAATATATAGTTGATACTATAAATAAAATGATAAAAACACTACTCAGATAATTCATCCATTTATAGAAATAACTGTACTGTGCAACTAAACCAACAAAATAAAAACACACTGTAGAAAATGTCATAGCCATTTTTTTTCCTCCGTTTTAAATTAAATCAGACCTTTTTCTGTTTTGGGTCAGCTGGTAGAGACAATGATTCCTCTTTGTTGAATGCTGAAATAATGAGAGATTAGTTTAGGTTTTTTTTTTAAGTGTATTTTGAAATTCATTTACATGTCATCAAATTCAGGAAATAGAAATGATTTATGGATATCCTAAATGAGATAAAGTGGTAGAAGGTCTGACGTATAGCCAGGCAATGATAGTAATGTATTTTAATAGTGTAAAAATACCTGGCTTTATCTTAAAAAATAACCATAATAGCACAGTAGGAGCATAAATATCAGCTCCATGGGTTTGATTTTATACAGCTGGAGTTTTTCATATTTTCTTATCAAAATAAAACGCGTACTGGCTGGCTGAACAGTGCAGTAGTTAAACCAGGACACTTTGCCTTAACCTTGTTCACCAGACAAACAGAATGGTTTCCTTTTTAGACTCCAAAATGCTGTGTACATACTGTATATTTGGGTGTTAAACATCATCAGTCCTTCATTTCTCCTTATGTCTGTTAGCACACACAAGGTATATTTTTGAAGGATCAGACCGAAGACCTGTGTTCGCAAATTTGTTTTTAAGATTTTATTAAAAAAGCATCTATGACACAGCTGCCCACTTTAAGCCCAAGAAGAAGCGCAGCAACATTTATGTGATTCTTCATTTCCTTCCTCTACAGATAGTTTTCTCCAGATTTTGCCTGAAAAAGAGTTGGAAAAAAAACCAGACTGAGTATTCCACTGTGTTGCTTTAAACCAGCATGCCCAGTTAGGCTACTTAACAGGAAACACTGTGAAAAACCACCTGCAATATTTCACACAAATAGTTATAAAGCATCATAGGCATGTTCTCCTAGTGATGAGTGCATAAAATTAATGGACCCTCTGGTATATTTAAAATGAGCCCCAGACAGGTGTTTTTTTTTTCTATCCACCAACAATTCCCCAGAGTCATATTTAAGCATTTTTTGCAAAGAGGCAAGGTTACAATATTTGCGCTGCTAGAGTGTTCTTCCTCTGCAGATCCAAGGAATGCTAATGGACATGTAGTGTTGAGCTGTGATGGACAGATTTTATTTTAAAAAGACCTTGCCTCTACCTCCTTAATTTACCCAGATCTAAGGACTGATTCAAAAGCTCAAAGGCTGTTTTCAAGATTTTGTACGACCCTGAGACACAAACATCCTTCCAAACTAGTGCATAAAACAGAAGCGGGTGAAAAACGCAAGACTGTACAGCGGGGATGATAGCTTTGTTGTTGACACAATGTATAAAAGCAGATACTACATATATAACTGTTATACCTATATGACTATTTTTATCTAGTTTTAGTTGATGTTATTTATTGAGCATTTTGACCCTGAATGACAAGGCTGAAGTTCTGTTCTGTCTTACATCCAGCCCTGTTCTAGGACCTGCAGGCCCGTCGTCTAAGTGTCAACATGTTTGTCTGATGCATGGTTATATATTTTTGCTGTATGTTTATTTACTTAATAAAGATGGATGTTTGGGAAAAAAAACTTGCATATCTATTGCACAATTATTATTTGTTTTTGTAAGAAGCACAATCATGTTGCATTAAATTATTATGGACCTACTTTGGTTTGTAATATTTTGGGTCAAGTTCGTGGAGGTAAATCCAGCTGTACGAACATAACCTCACTTTAAATCTGATGGGGACTAGAAACTGTCACAGAGTTACTAAGAGGAGCTGATAAAATCAGCTTTTCAAGTTTTAAACTTTAATTTTACTTTTGTTTTTTCAGCACTGTAAGATAATTGTTTATATAAAGTATTCTATGAATAATAATAATCCTCATTGCATGTCCGATTCACGGTACACACTATCATTGTAGATCATACACACACCATGGCCACCTGTTGCATTTTTTTTTATGGTGATGGGTGGAGCTAGAAATCCTGCAGGAAAACGTGTTAGTTTGCTTTCCATCAGGAAAATGCAGCCAGTAGAAGTGCAATGTAGTAGTTTCAGATCAAGGCATTTTAAAGTTGCATATTCAAAGTCCAGAAGTTCATCTAATAAAAAAAAAGGAAGAAAAAAAAAATATTTTTTTATTTTATTTTATTCAGGTATTCTACATCAAATCAATTATCCAAAGTAGAATGAGCAACTATGTAAGCCTCCAGCTGGTATAAACATACCTCAAAAAGATTTGTAGTTGTAAACGTATGCAATGCTTTCGTATTTTTTATTTGTATAATCATCCATTGTTCTCTATTCACTTCACAGCAATGAACTAATTTGTTTTAAAGAAAATGCTTCTGAAAAGCAATGCACCTTCTTTACGGTCTCTCTAACCCAGCTATTTTAAAAACCTGTTTTGCTGTTAACAGTATTTTATCATTTAGGATTTAAGAGTGCATTGAGTAATAATTAAAGAGATGTCAATTATCATCACCTCAATCTTTATGTTTGCCTTCCCTTAGAAATCACTATATATAAATACATAGTAGTGGTTTCTGGCAGTGCAGAACTCGCATACTGGTGACTGGAGTGATTGCCATTTGCCATTATAATGTGACTGCAGCAAGTTAGGCCCATGTACAATCCTACACATACTAATAAAATATTTCTTATAGAATTATATATCTAAACTTGACTTACGGCCACCAACGGCAAATGCCCCTTCATTATGAGTTAAATAGCCAGTTGTTGTGACAGGAGCAGTAGGGAATCAGTGTGAGAAGAGCGGCTAAGAAAGCTCCAGAACCAGGATGAGCTGGCAGTACCGTGGGAACTAGCTCTGCCAAGGTGAGGAAAATGTGAACAGAAAGGGCTAAAAGTTTAAGTTAAAACCAAACTAACTTTGAAATGCCACAATTTTCATCATACCAATGTGGGCCATGACATTTGCATCATTCAAGCAACACCAACTACAGACAGGCCCAGATAGTACACGGTAAGTTTCAATATATGTGCTCCATGAAAAGAAAATATATGGACTGCAGTAAAATTAAGCCAGAGATTTATGTTTTAGCCAGAGGAAGAAAAAAATACTTGAAATAGCATTTATTTCCTGCGGCAAGGTCAAGGCAAAGCTGCAGCTAAACTAACAAAATACAAATACTCTGTAGAAAATGTAATAGCCTTTTGTTTTATCTGTTTAAAATTAAATCAGACCTTTCCTGTTTTGGGTCAGCTGGGATAGAAAATTATTTCTCTTTATTGAATGCTGAAATAATGAGAGCTTAGTTTAGGGTTTTTTTTAAGTATATTTTGAAATGTAGACATTTCAAAATCCTAATAAAAACTGAACAGTCTAATAGATGGCGTTATTCAATTTCAGATATCTAAATGTAGTAACACTATAATATGGTTATTTTTATTCACATAAAACAAGTTTCTTCCAACCATTTAACACAAGAAAATACAGACTCAAACCCATATAATAAAACACACAAATCCATGCTGGAATTAGGCTGTGTGCATGCGTCCTTAAAACCAGTGTCGATAGCGACTTGTGCGCTTCTTCAGCACCCCGTTCCTGCAGCTATACTGCCCTCTGTGGCTAAGAAACCACAGCAGCAGATGCAGCAGCTGAGGAGCATAGCATCAGCTAAGAGAAGACTGCTGGGTAAACAGACCGCTGAAGGCCAGAGAGAGGCTATAACTGGCCTTGGCAATCTGGAGGCTAACCGAGGAGGATTGAAGCAAAATGGTGGATGATTAGATTAGTCAGCTGGGTGGAGAGAGGTCCGAAGGCAGGGAAGAGTTGTTGCAGCTCACCATGAGTAGGATGACATGACATCGAAGAAGCCCACCAGGGAGACAGAGCAGGACGAGACGACGGCTGGCCAAGGCTAGCATCTAGAGGCTAACTGCTGGAAATGGACTGAGGACTGCAGTAGATCAGAGAAGCCTGCGGGCGGACTGAGCGGCGGACTGTGATGAGAGAAGGCATCAACTCGTCCATGTCTGTGCTGGAGGTAGGATACGAAACAGTCC